TTTTCCTTTTTTTTTTTTTTTTTTGACATCTTTGACTCCCATTCCGAGGTTTGATTATTATAATTTATTTTTAATTTAACTTTGTTATTACAAAACGGGGGCTGAATTCATAGTCTGTTCTTTCTTAATTACAAAAAGAACCTACCATGTACAATGAAATCATGCTGATTTAACATGCCATCAAGTGACAAAAATTAGCCAACTAAAGCTGGAAAATTAAATGTTTAAATCACCTACCCACTACATATATGCTCCTCGCGGGATCTGTGAATCAATTAAAAGTTTGGTGGTGGTCGAGGAGGAGGAGGAAAAAAGGAAAGGGGTTCTAGTAACGAAAGATTCCTCTTTTTTGAAGGTCCTTTCTATTCTCTTTCTAGTAGGGTTCCCATTTCAGCTATTCTTGAAAAAGAAGACAAGGGTTCAAAGTGGAATTCTAGGAAGAAAGGACGAGAATTTTATTATTATTATTTTTAAATTTTTTGATAATTTATTTGAGATTCATTTGTATTTTTTAAAAATTTGGGAGTGTGATTGTAATTAGTTCTTTATTTTTCTTTGCTTTGTTTTTTTTTTTTTATTTAAATATGAGGGTATATTCATTTCACATATTTTTATCGAGAAATTGGATAAAAGTTGATGGAAATGATGATTTTCGCAATGAAAGTTAGAAATAGGGGTGAAGATGCAAAGAAATGAAATGTAGGAACTTTTGTACACTGAACTCCAAACATAGGAACGTTCTTTGCTTATAATCCTACGAGAAATTAATTAATTAAAGTTGAGATGAACCCAAAGTCTTATAAAACCTAACGCAACCCATGGGAAACCCCATGCATTAGGGTTTCGCAAACCCAAAACCCCAAACGAAGAATTACATTACCAGTGCCAATGGCTTCATCAATTACTCGAAGGTTACTTCTGCGCAGTATCTATGGCGCCATTACTGCTCAATGCCGTCTAACTAAACCCTCATTTCACAGGCTTCCCGAAAGTACCCGTCCTTTCAAGCCGGAGTTTGGCTTAGATAATGTATACAGAAGGTCCCCGAATTTTGCTGCAATTAATTACAGGTTTCTATGCACGACTTCTAATCAATCAAATTCAAATGCAACTGGATCGTCGGAGGGCAATTCTGGAAAGAGTAATGATGGCGAGAGTTCTGATGATATGGAATGGGGCCACTGGAGCCGTGATGTATTTCTGTTCCCTCATTTTTGTTATTATTGTTCATATTTTTGTTATATATTGGATTTTAGTTGATTTTTTATGGTATTGGTGAATTGATGGTCGATTAAATTTCCATGGTTAACAGCCTAAATCGTGGACGGACATCTTTTATCTTCTTTGCTTTGGAGCGGGATTGGTTTGCTTCTTTATCTGTGCAAATAATCAGCAAATTGAAGGTTAGATTACTATGGTGAGTTGTGGAGTATGTTCTAATGGTTTCGATTTCATTTCAATTAGGGTAGCGTGTCTGTATTCGACACAAGTCAATGCTCCTCGGACACTACCGAAAATATTTTTCACTTTTCATTAAAAATATTGTATATTTGTAACCTATAACTTTAATAAATAACACATAGGTACTCATATTTAAAAGATTTCAATAAAAAAAATTAATAACAAATATAAAACTAAACTTGTACAATATAAATGAATATTTTTAAAGAATTTAATCAATGTGTCGTGTCGGTACTTTTTTCAATCATACACATGTCCGTGTCAGTGCGCCATAGGTTTCGACATTCATGGATTCTGTTAGGCTTCTGGTTATTTCTTGATTTTGAAAACTGATTTAACTATTGTGATTACTTTCTTTCCAGTTACAGATCCTGATTACATGTAATGCTAATTAGTTTATATTGGAGCTGATGGGTTTTGGACAAGAGGATACGAGGGTGAAAAAGACGAGTGATTGTTGTAATTTTACAACGTCATTCTACGATAAGTTTCATACTATTTTTGGTAGCCAGGGTAGGAGAATTGTTTGATACTATCTTGTCAAAATTTCCCAAGGCTCTCATGTTAGGATTTTTTTTTTAAAATTTTTTTGTGACATTTCCCCATGTTTGTCATGCTGGAAGAAATTGGTAAATCGAAAAGGCTTTTTGTTCCAAAGGAATCTACATCAATTTGGAGTAACATGTATTTCCTTTCTGAAATGGAAAGCATTTTTTTGTAACTTACAACTTATACGAGAGATGAACATAACCACTCAATCCCCACTGGTTAGCTGTAAATTTGACGATGACTACTATGGGGTTACCCGAGATTTTGTTCATTGACGACCGTCAGGTAGCTGTTGATGATCGCCAGTAAGTTGCCAGAGGCTATCAGCTAGTCATTGGAGACCAATGATCAGTTAAAAATCGACGGCCATTAGTTAGTTTCTGGCAAGTTCACGATATTTTTAAGAAAAAAGTACTCAAATGCTACAATGATGTGTTTGCAGAAATTGTTTTTAATGAAACTGTTTTTTGTGGAAGCTAACAATCCAAGTATTTAATCATGTAATTGTTGCATTTTTTGCCATGGATTTCTTTTGCTGCATTTTCAGTGACTGTTAATGGACATCCG